CACATACCATCCCTCCCTAACCAAATCTGTTTTTCAACTTGGTGTGAATATTTTTGAAAATTTATTGTTCTGTCAGTAAACAGCTGAAAGGTAGTTGTGAAAACAGTTTTGGGTTTTGTTTTTTTTTTTTTTAATTTAAATTATACTCAAGAAACCTGATCAGAGGAATAAAAAGACATTCTGAAACTCTACGGACACTAATTCCCAGGAAGCAGATGGCCATTAAAGTCTGAATATAGTGAATTAAAAAAATTTTTTTTTCAAAAACTAAAAAAAAATGCCAGTTGTGTGTAGGGCTGGTGGCGGCAACAGCATAGGTGGGAGGTGGCGACACCAGTCATCCTGAGATCCAACCGCCCGCTGTCTCCTTCCTTCCCTCTGCACTGGGAACTTCTTCAAAGACTTCCCGAGCCCCGCACTTGATAAACCCAGATAGTTTCCAGGCACTTAAACACACTGATGAATAACAATAGGCCCTGCTCGATGAAACTGGCATACTGCTGTGTTTATAGATAGATGAATCCATATAAGGGAAAAATTAAAAAAGAAAAAAAAAAAAGCTAACACAGGAGCTATTATTTTAATCTCTCAAAATTAACTTTAAGGGGCTGGTGAGATGGCTCAGTGGTCTAAAGCACCTACTTAGAACAAGTTTAGCAAACAACAGGGACCACAGTTCAATCCCCCAGCACCACATGCCAGCCAGCCCCGCCCCCAGGTGGGCTGAGCTGGCCACACACACACAAAAATAAATAAATAATTAAAAAAAAAATTAACTTTAAATAGCTATTATTTCTTCTACTAAATTCAGGCCATTCAGGAGGAAATGGTTAGAAATGAAAAAGTTTATCCCTAATTCATAATTAATCACTACATCTGCATTTTTTTCCTTCTACTGGACACTGAAAATACCCAATAGATACATTTTACAGCCCAGTCAGATAATATTAATTCAAAGGTCATTAGAAAATGTTCTTGAAAATATTTAAATGTATACTGAAAACTGTCAAAGTGCCATTCCTACAACTATGATTTTAATTTTCTTGATTAAAAAAAATAAATGATTAAAAATATGTAAATCTATACATGACATACTTGGCATTTATACCTGGTATATTTTTCTTTAAAATAAGGATAAGCAACAATGTAATTTGACCTGATTAACTAAAATTCTGATTTATGAAATCTAATTACACACACTGCGAAAAGCATTCAACCTGAAATCCAGATTCCTGGCTTTGCGGAGGAACCACTATGATTTGAAACTCATCACTTGAGCAAGCCTTCGTATGTCTGACTTATGCCTGCCAAGGCCCCATTATACAGCATAATTTAATTCTCTAATTCACAAAAATTCAATTTACTTCCCTACTTATTGATATTTGATACCAGTGGGTGGCTATGCTTATAAAAACTGGTCAAAATAATGAAAGCATACCAGATTATCAAAAGAACTGACTTTTTTTAAAAAAATTAATCTTTTACTTATTTGGTACAGGATCGCCCTATGCAGCTCAGACTTGTAGTGATCCTCTTGTGTCAGCCTCCCCAGCGCTGGAATTATAGGTCTGGTTTTGGGGCCAGAGTGCACCCAAGATTCCAGGACCGGCGCTGCATGTGGTACCAGAAATTGAGCCTGGGTCCTTGCACTTGACTGCCAGGTGCTTAGATCATTGAGCTATCTCCCCAGCCTGATTTGTAAGGAATTTGAGCTTAGTTCTCTAGGAATAAAATCTATTACAAGAAAAACCTACAGAATACTTAGAATGGTTGGTTTTTACACAATCACTGTTCTCTGAAAACATTAAAAATAATTTTCAAAAGTTCATAGAAGAGAACAAGAATAAAACATTGCTCCTCTTTTTAAAAAAATGCATCTAGATAGGTTGATAACTACAGATAAGGTGATGCCGACAACTAAAGCTTTATATATTTAGATTGTATCACCTCAAAATTTTAGAAATACTTAAGTTAGTGTTTACTTGGCCAGAGTGATTGGAGACATAACTCATCCACAGAGTACTTTCCTACGTGGAGAAGGCAAAGCATTCGACCCCAGAATTGCAAACAATTATGATGATGAAGAAATTGGGCCAGGGAGATAGACTGGTGGTCTAAGCACCTGCCTGGCAAGTGCGAGGACCAAGGTTCAGTCACCTGTAATTACACCTGTCATCCCAGCACTGAGGAGGCTGAGACAGGAGGATCACTACAATTCCAAGCTATGTAGTGAGACCCTGTACCAAATAGATAAATAAGATTTTTAGTATTTTTTTTTAATTATAAAAAGAACTATGCACAGAAACATGACAGGAGTAAGGGCTTCTTACACATTTAGAAATAGATACCTGAAAAGTACAGGTGTAAAACAAATCCAAAATTATGTGAAACCTTTACAGTTCTATCAAGATAAAACATTAAAGAGAAGAAAGCTCTGCAAAGCAGAAAGGCATGTTGGGACATTGTCCCCTAGCTTTTGGGACAATATATCGGCTGGCTTCGTTTTGGCAATCTTAATTAGCTGTGAGAAATCTTACTGTTCAGCTTCTGCAGAACAGTGGAAAAGACTGGTAAAACGAGGCTAACGACCGGCAGGGATCCACTCCTGGGCCTGCGGGAAGGACTTTCCTGCTTGCTGTAGAGCTTCTCCAGCTTGCGCTTTGCACCCCAGCCACGTTAGGTACTTGGTTCCAGGAGGTATTAAGGTTGCAATGCCAGCGAAGAACAAGAGCAAAGAACTACGCCTTGTGTGGGCTTGACCCCAAGGACCTGGCTCAATTTAGTCACTGGATCAAAGGAGGAAGAAGAAGACCCCCCAGGTAACCTCATCTGAGTTTATGGGCAAGGACCTCGGAACGGTTGCAGAAAGCACCACCTGGATAACATTTTAAAAAGTAATGGCGCTAGGGTTCGGATGAAGCTTAATGGCTGAATAGTCAACCTTCTATCTTCCTTCCCACGTCCTCATATCTAACTTTGAGTGGTTTTCTCCAAGGGTGTTCACAGCCCATTGTCTAGTTGCTGCTATAAAGGAGTATCCTAACACGTAAAACTTTTCTTAGACAAACTCACGGGGTGCTGATCAACGTTCTACCGGTACGCACTCACCGTGTGCACTCTTACTCTTCATTCTGGGTCCTTTTCACCTGTAGGAGGGAACGGCTTCAAAAGCAGCACCCCCTAGCCTGATGCGCCGAAAATGAAATTTCTCGTAAGAGCAGATATGAATCCTGACCTGAGAGGTGACGCCCCAAATAAAACTGCAGCATCTCGTGAAAAAGTCTCTGTCTGCTAGCTCCCCGCTGAGTTAGGCTACTGTGCCAGCAAGGCGGTCTCTATGTTGATTGGAAAATTTTTCATTATTGGACTAATGAGGCATTGGTCCACACCTGGAATCTTTTTTAAATGTATAAAAACATTCACACATAACAGCGGGAATCCGGTTAGTTTCTGCCTCCAAAAACCAGATGCAAAATGATAGAGTATACACATAATTTTCATAACAATCCAAGCTTGAGATTTGTATTATTAAATTCAGTTTCTGCTTGTGGTTTACCATCACGGCACTAGTCATTCAGACTTATTGCACTTTTAAATCTGATACACTTCTTATTCTAAAGCAAAGAGGAATGTCATCTGCACATAAACTACTAACCTATTTGTACCTGTCAAGTGTGACTTAAATCTGTGAACACTCTTCTACTTGCTGGATACGTAAGTTCTTAAAATATTTCTAAATCAACTGGCTAGTTAAATTATATGATTAAGTTTTATCAATATAAGAAATGTAAGACTACTGAAAGACAGCAAAAAATGGTAAAATATAACTTGGGAACAAGCAATTCCAAGAAAATCCTCTTGGTAAAATTAAAATGGTCACATTTTGAAGTTTATTACAAGGACAATAGAGTAATATGTCTCTATTACTTGACAGTACGCTTCTTTTCCCATCACTTTATTAATAAGTATAAATGGAACCAATTAAAGGACACGCAAAACCATTTTTAAAATTCTGAAATATTTTTTCAACTACTTGAAACTAAATCTCTATACATTCATTTCTCAGACACTGTAATCTTCACATATTTATACGTCAATATGTTGTCAGGTCAAACACAGTAACTACGCCTACCGACTAGCTACAAAATTTTCCTTTCTTATCTCTGTATTAACCTCTAGCCTACTCCAAAAACTACCCAAGTGATATTATTTTTACATTGAAATAATATTTAAGACTACAGAAATAATAGGTAACAGGTAATATATATAGTAATTATTAAAGACACTTCTAATTAGCTCATCAGACCTCAAAAGCATGTTTATATCTTTAAAAATCATGTTTATCTTGAAAAATATGCTAATATATTTCGACTTAAACACTGTTAGGGGCTAGAGATAGAGCCTAATGGAAAGCACTCCTAGGGCTCTGGGCTCAATCCCTGTGATATAAAGAAAATTAAAAATTTAAAAAAACACTAAAGAAAATTTCCTTACCTACTTTTTTAAGTATAAAGAAACCATCACTATATTCCTACAAATTTTCACATTATAAGAAAAGTGTATGTTGTTAAAGGATAGTGATAATGTTAAACAAAAGCACAAAAACAGATTTTTCTAGAAGGCACAAAAAATTTCAGGCATTTTAGCATTATGACTACTTCAGAAGTAGAGAAACCAAAGAAGTAAGAGTCGCCATAAAACTACTTTCAATTTTAGTGAAATGAATGTAGCCAGTAGACATAAAATATATTTTAAAAAATCAATTTAGTTCCCTTAGACTTATTTAGACTTACTGTATTTTTCAATATATGTAGAATATGAAGTCAAACATGTAGCTCTTTCATTATAATATAGCACTACAGTAAAAATAATTCAGCCACCAAAAGGAAGGAATTCAACACCTGTTTCTAAGAAGCCACTGTGGCCACTTTCACGCAGAGTAGCGCAGACACAGCTGATGTTCTCCTCGATCTAAGAAGTGAACTTTACACTGCTCTTACCTTCTGTATTCGGTAAGAAGCTGATTACAATGATAAACCACAGACTTCGCATTCTGCAGCCAGAAGACACCATTATTGATCCTTTGAAATATTTTCTTCGTGTTCCTTAATGAATCTAGTTATAAATGCCCAGCTTCATCGGACCCAGCAGTCTGCATCATTGATCCTCATATCTGAAAAACAAACAAATCCATCATTTACTTACTGTCCTGTAATGTCCCAGAAAACGGAAAAATAGCTAGTCTCTCTCCCTTTCCCTCCTGCTGTAAGAATAACTATATTCTGACGGTATCACCAACACGGAAGCCATTCCCATCCACTGGAGGTCGCAGACGCACACTCCAGCATGTCAGACTCCAAGAAGCATGGACAGATAATCACTACACAGGAATGCATGGAGTAGACAAATTGCTAGTAGTAACATTTTTGTTACAAAAGCAAAGACAGTCATTCAAGGATAACTGTACATCCACACCTCCATAACAGGTATTAGCTATCAAAGCATTCGCTTTAGTATGTAATACATCCTTTTTTAAAAAGTCATGGGGGGGGGCCTGGTGAGATGGCTCAGTGGTCTAAAGCACCTACTTAGAACAAGCTAAGCTAAGCAAAGCACAGGGACCGCGGTTCAATCCCCCAGCACCACATGCCAGCCAGCCCCGCCCCCTGGTGGGCTGAGCTGACCACACACACACACAAAATAAATAAATATTTTTTAAAATAAAAAAATAAAAATAAATAAATAAATAAAAATTCATGGGGCTGGGGAAAAAGCTTGGTGGCATAAGTACCTGCCTCACAAGCACAAGGTCCTGAGTTCAATCCCCAGAATGGCAAAATAAATAAATAAATATTAAAAGGTCACGAGCACATATGCACTTTTTTTCATTTCTGATGATGGTAACAGCAATTATTTTGTATAACTGGCTGGCACCAAGGGATACCGACGTACGGAGTCCATTCTTCTACACACAGTTAGTGGTATCAAATGTCTATAGGTCTGCTTTCATTTATATACAACAGACACTGCGAAAAATGTCACACTCCTTAATAGCATATCAAATTGTTACGTGCGACTGTTAATTACTCATAGAGCAAACAGTTGAATTAAGTGATAATCTCATAGTAGAGCAACACGTAAGTTAAGATTCACCTAAAGCAGGCTGGTGAGATGGCTCAGTGGTCTAAAGCACCTACTTAGAACAAGCTTAGCAAAGCACAGGGACCGCGGTTCAATCCCCCAGCACCACATGCCAGCCAGCCCCGCCCCCTGGTGGACTGAGCTGGCCACACACACACACACACACACACACATACACACACACAAATAAATAAATAAAATTAAAAAAAAAAAAAAAGATTCACCTAAAGCCTTGGGTCCACTGAACCCAAGTAACATCACTTGAGTCATGATCACTGAACGTGCAAGATGCATAATCTTCTTCTTTTTTCGGAGACAAAGTCTCACTACTATATAGTCCAGACTAGCCTGAAATTCGCTATGTAGTCCAGGCTGGCCTCAAACTTGTGGCCGTCCTCCTGCCTCAGCCTCCCAAGCACTAGGACTACAAGTGTAGGGCACCAGGCCTGGTGAGATGCACAAGTCTTTTTTAAAACTATTGGGCAAGACACAGTGAGGCACACCAAGCCTGGCATCAATTCTAATTTTGACCAGAACTCATGGGTTCAATTCTGCAAACTGGAGAAAATAAAAAACCTCCAGAGATATAACACAGTCGAAGTATTTCTTGATTACTGAAATTCACATGAAACCAGATGGTTTGCTGAGTTCTGTGCAAATGCTCTATCTCTCTGTAGGACAGTATGAGGAGTCAGAGAGATAATAGCAGCCTCGTGTTAAACATAAAATGGCAGCACTTGCCACATGTATCTATCCCTTCCGGGCTAGCCTCTGAGGGCAAAGAAATCACAAATTCATGTTAGAATTTCTTCTTATTCACGTCCCAGCATTTTCTTCTAGGCAATATTTAGACCAAGTTTTCTCTGGCTACCCTGAACCAGCTACGACTCAATTTTTATAAAGTAGGGCAAATTCTTACCCTCCCCATCCTGAAGCTGCATAAATAGCTCAAATAAGCCAATTCTTTAATCATTTAGATGCTGTCATTAAAGCATAAAGATAATGAAAAAAGCAAAGTTCTCCTGGCAACTCTGAGTTCTCTTGCATGCTAACGGAACTATTTTGCATTTACTACGTGCTTCAGCGTATCGTATAGGATTGTATTAGCAGGTTCCTGTAATATATTAGCAGTTCACTGAAATGTAAGTGTAATTGAAAACCAGTTAGATTCTAAATGGTTTGGAATGTTGGGCTCTCTATCTGGGCTTATCAACCTCCACCCCATAAAAGAACGTGAAACAATCTGAAGCCATTATCTAGTATTCAAATATAAAGATCCATAAAAATTACAAATGAAATTAGCAAGATATCTCTACAATAAGGAATCTGTTTTCTCATGCCCATAGTGTCAGAGATATAACAGCTTCCCTATATTCCCCCTCCATGACTCATAATCCGTCTAATTTTTAGCTCTCTCTGAAATCATTAAAGACATTTAGGTTTTACGATGATCGAGGCCACAGATAGTATTAAACAGTTCTGAGAATAACACTTCAGATGCTTCTCTGTCCAAAGAAGCAAGAAAAAAAAACAAAGGAAGTCACAGTAGGCTTCCTCCTCTTCTGAATGCTAAGAATCCAAAAAAACAAAAGAATGAATTATTCAAAATTAATCTCATGGACTCCTCAGAGGGCAGGCAGGAGGACTACAAGTTCCTGATCAGCACGGACAACATAATGAGACCCCCTCTCGGAACAGAACATCTAAAAACCAGAAAGAGCAGCGGCAGAAGGGGGGAGGGGTCGCTTTAACTCTAGTTCTGTGGTAAAGTGCTCACCTCACGTCCCTGAGGCCCTGGGTTCAAGGGTACCCAAAATCAGCATCATCTGATGGAGATTAGGCCCGCACCTACATGGAACTAGCTGGCCTGCTCTGTTCACTTTTTACTCCAAGCTCCCCCACATTATTCAAAAGATACAACCTAAAATAGACCACCAGCAGGTCACAGCTGCTGTTGCCAAGTCCCTACCTTAAGGCCTGTCCTAACCAGAAGTCTCATCAATGGAAATTCACCTCCTACAGTCTGCTCAACAATCTGATCAAGCTTTGAGAGTAATTTTTAAATGGGGATGAGGTGCAGAAATTGCTGCAGGCAAAACGGAGCCAGCCCCTGGGCTGCTCCGGATTCCTGCACAGGCTTCCAAAGAGCTAACTTGGACCTGCACTGGGAACTCTGGCTTTGCAGGCGCAGGCCTGCGGGCAGCCTGCCCGTGCCACTCTTAAGCTCGGTTCCACTTCCCTGAGGCGATCCAAGAGCAGTCTGTCTCTGGTCACCCACTATTTAAGAGTCCTTACTTGTGGGAAGGAGGGGAAGGAAGAAATCAGGGGCTGATCACTGCTTCGTAGGAAACAGCTGCCAAGATAGGAAAACCTCTGTTAGTGAGAGGAAAAGGCGGAGGAAACCACACGACCGAGACTCCCCTGCGGTCTTTGGCCAGGACAGAGCTCTTCGTGCACAGACTTTCTGAGCTAAAATTCAGTGTACTCTGAAGGTCTGAGAACCCGTAACACATATGCAATGCACATTCCAAGTACAAGGCTTAGTGTAAATTATTGTTTCTGACACATCAACATCCTAGAATGCATAAAACTATGACTTCTTTATGCAAATAAAACTTAAGTGCAACAGCCCATGCAATGAGTAGCAAGGAGTATCCCCCTTCATTTTTCTCATTCCACACCTACACCTAATCACTTTCATAGCAACTAGAATTATTTCCAGAAGTTCAAACTACAGAGCAATTTTGCAAACTAAACCAAAAGACTGTACTGCTGTGACCCGAATTAAAAACAACTTTTCACTGAACAAATATTAATGAAAACCGAAATACTCAGCGAACCACAAACAGCAAGGAATAAAAAAATAAATAATCAAATATGGTAAAACTAATCCCGAGGAAACATCCCTTCTAAATCAAGTTGGAGCCAAGAAGACATTCAGGCACAGATGTAGTTAACAGACTGGTCCTTCCAGCTCTAAAAAGAAGCGCAACAGGAGTATCTCACAGAGCAAACAAAACAAGGAACAAAAGCAAAAGAGGGACTGGGGTGGGGGCTTGCAACACAGGGAAAGGGTTCCTTTAAATAATTTCCCACATTAGCAACTGGCGCGTATTCAGACTTTCGAAAACGTTTTTTTATCCACCAGCCTATGACAGCTTTGTATGGGAGAGGAGGCGCCAGCAGGGAAAAGACACCTCACAATCCTTTCTAAGTAACAACACAATCAACACTTTTCTTCTGTGGATGACAAGGATCTTTAAAAATCAAAGTCACTCCTAAAATACAGCTGCTTAGCTTTTCCTTTTCTTCTCCTTCAAATAAGATTCAAACAATTTCATGCTGATCTTCTTTCTAGAAACCACAAGCCATTGTCTACCAAACCCCTGCCACGATCTTTTTTTTTTTTTTTTTTAAGATGTAAGTATCCTATTACTCTGTCATGTAAAAAGTCAATTAATGCATCCTTACTACTGAACCTTCTAAAGCTGAACAGTGACTTCCAGGAAAACGCTTCAGCACTGTGTATACCCCAGCAGCCCTCGATGGCTCATACACTACTTACAGCGCACAGTCAGCTGTAGTCTTTTCAGACAGTAACCTGCCCTTATTTATTAGTCCAATAATTATCCTGTGCCTTTAACTGTCAGCAAAATTATTTAAAAGGAAAACAGCACTAACCAGTTTTCAGCACATATCTGGTACATAACCAGAAAAATCACATGGAGTCAGATGATACAATATTTATTTAACAAATACCAAAAAAAAATTTTTTTGTTGATAATTATCAATGACATAAGAGGTCATTTAACATCAATTATAGGTTGAGGAAAAGAAAATTTTAAAATTTTAATACTGATTAAGATTGATAGTCTATTAAGACAAGAGTCACCAGACTAAAAGACATTCACATCTAAAGCATTGTCTACCTATCGACAGCGACCCACCGTGAACAATGGATTTTAAGCCCCAAACAACTACAGGAACCAGGGAAAGGACAGAAAAGGAAAAGCTATCCAAGCAGGGGACCAC